GTATTTTAACGTTATTTAATTGGTGACCAAAAATTTCATGCCCTTACTCATTCTTAGAAGATCTAATCACTGAGTTCCAGAGTTTCCACCTCAATGTTTCTAGCCCTTTTTAGAAGAATGGAAACATGTTTACGGCTCTAAAGATCATCAGGTTGTTACGCCTTGGAAGAGTAGCGCGGAAGTTGGATAGTTATCTGGACTATGGTGTTGCCACCCTGTTGCTGCTTCTAGCCACCTACGTGATGGTCGCTCATTGGCTGGCATGCATATGGTACTCGATAGGAGAGTACGAGACGAGAAAATGGGTAAAACGTTTCTATTTCTGATAGCTTTACAGTAAGATTCAAAGTGGTTTAGTTAATACACCGAACGGGAGGAAAATGTTGGCTTATTCGTTTAGCAGAAGAGATTGACACTCCGTTCAATATTACCTGCACTGATGACTCATGCTTTTCTCACGAAGTGACTGGAGGGCCTTCGGAAGGATCAGCCTATATAACAGGTAGGGCGGCCTACGGTTACTGCTGACTTTACAACCTTGAGGCATTCGACCAACTCTTATAAAAAACAGGCCACTGTCAAACCGATCTGTGCTCTAAGAAATTCATTTCGATTTACTGTATCGAATAAGGTTTTCATCTTTCAGGGTCCTTCCTTATGCAGTGTTTCCTTTCTTCTTTAATAATGGACCGAACAGTGGTCCCCAAGTAAACTCTTTCTGCTACTTTAGGTGCCTCCAGCTATGAAGTCAAACTTTCTGTTGATAAGAATTTAGGACTGAAACTACCGTTGTGTCTACAAATCTTCTTTTCCATCAAACAGTTGCAAATTAAAAAACGCTTTTAGTCTCCGTTGTCAAACAAAGAGGAGTTAAGATGAGACTTCATTGACAGAATATTCACTGCAATTGCTTTTCCGTGGCCCGCAGGTCTGCAGGTGGGGGAAAGAATAAATTTCCCTTTTACTCATACATACCCTCGAAGAGGAACATAGTCGGTATCCATTTGTAGTTTTTATCCACCAACCTTGATAGACTTCAACACTCCTGCATTAAAGATCCTTTGCATTAATATTTCGTTTTCTGTCATGAGAGAGAGGGAACCATAGCACTCAGGTCACTTTGACCGGAGGTGATCAGTTGCGAATCGCGCCGGGCGCGAAACGTCAGCAATTTCTCATGCTTCAAGTATTCATCCTCCAAGCGCGGTCATCCCGGCTCCAGGTATGATGTGTTCAACGGCGACAAAGCAGCCTAGTCCGCCTTTGAGGGTACTGGCGATCGTCATTGGCCATACCTCGTTAGTAAACCCAATTGTGCCCGGTCAACCATGTCTTCTCCCACCTGCATTGGACGCCAACGTACTTCATCCTCATCCGCTGTTGATCTCCATGTTGGAGATGTGGTCGCGATGCGACATTCTCAACATTCTTCTTTTCATGGGCCTACTGGCGTCAGATATCTGGCGTTCTTCAACTTTAGTGAGTGACCATAAGTCCCACAACCATAAAACATTACTGGAAGGATGGTAGAATTGAATTGGTGAGCGCAGGTTCCTTTCTGGTGTAGCTAAGGTAACATCCCCGATGGAATGGAACATATGCCGACCGACCATTTTTCTCCGTTGAATCTTTCCAGCTCACTCGTGCCTCTTGTTGATCTCTTGGTCCGGAAAAATGTACTTTTCGACTTCGATACCAATGTGACCTACATATCAATATCACCACATACCATTATCACTTACTGCAGTGCTAATGGCCTGGCCAGGTCTTTGCGTCCAGAAGCAAACCTCCAAGGAAAAAAAGAGTAAGAAACCTAAGTTCGAATAGTACGTGCTTAGTACTACGCAGTACGAGCTCGAGTAGTACGTAGTACTTGCTCTGAGCAGTACGTACTTGAACATTGAACAAAAAAATTCAATGGCTCTGCCATTAAAGTTCTTCCTTTCCTTCACTAAAAACAGCTAATGGTTTCGTGCATGATTAGAAATGATCGACTGATAAATATCTGCATATTATTTGCCGTTATTCAACGTTTTGTTGAAGAATTTTAATTTTAGCGCTGTACTTTACGATGACTAGCCTCACTACGATAGGCTTTGGCAATGTCGCTGGTACGACAGAATCTGAGAAGGTATTTTGTGTCTTCATGATGTTGATCAGCTGTAAGTGTTTTTCTAAAATTTTGCATACTTATATTTCTGAACTGTACACTGCGATTCGTTTCTAAACAGCATTCTCTTCCTTTGAACGGACAAACACCATAGTTAAAGTACCTCTCGAGTGATGAGTACTCATAATTTTCCTCTTCTCGTTTTACCAATTGAGTTAGTAACAAGAGTAGATTTCTTTCTTACGGATTAACGTAGCCTGTGAGGCAAAATAGATTCCATCTGTCACGTTGGTCCATCGTTTAATCGCCCATGATTGAACCTTAGTTACAGCTGTCACGGTGACTGCAACAAACTTCACGTTATTTTTAAGGCCGTACAACAACGCATCGACTTCCAATCACTTCGGCGTCACATGCGCAAGGAGTGCAATTAAATTGAGTTACTATTCAACTGAAAAACTGCTCAAATCATAGCTGCCGCTGATCTCATACTCCTTATATGCTGCGATATTAATATAAAAATATTTTCCTACGCCGGAGTATGTTAAATAATGCGTAACTCCTTCAAGACCAGATTCCATGGTGAATTGCTACAGGCAGCAGTCAGTGAGCGGTGGAATATGGAACAGAATTTAATACTGGGTACATGCTTTTTCTGGTGTACTCCGGCGAACGAACATACTTTGGCGTTTATTTGTTATGTTTGTTGATGCAATCATCTATAACTTTTTGCATAAGCAGAACTTTTCTGATTTTGGTTTCCGCTGAATCAGCAGCTTTGCAGTACTTTTGCTACAAGGTACTGATTACTGCATCACAAAAACAAATAATATTCCTCTCTGAAACTAGATCACCATCAAACGTGCTCTTCCACATTATACGCTGTCCTTCTCCTGGACACATGCCATGTTTCGGCTAGTAAATGAGAAGCTCACTGACTGAAGTAAATAGTGTACTGTTAGCCAATGTGTCAAACAAGTCCTAAGTCCTTTTCCCAATCTTCACATCCATTGAGGCATACTGTGCCTGAAAGAGAATAAATTCATTTCTTACATGGTCGTGCCATTCAGTCTTCATTATGCGTCGAAGTCAACATTTTTGTACGTAGTTCAACTGCCCATTCATTAAAACAACTGCCTCCATGTCGTACAGCAACATGACTTGACAGAGGCATGGTGCAAGCAGATCTTTGCCCAATTATTTGACAGATTTCTAAATGCACTCTCAGCTAAGGAGATCCTACCATTGAGCTCTGGATGGATTGTGCCATTACTCTGGATGAAGGAACCGAGGTGCTCGAAGTGGTCCTTCTTCAGGAGTCCGGGCAAAACCTCAGAATAAATTATTAATGGCAGAAAGCAACCGGAAACGAACAGTCGAACACCACCATCTCCGTCTTGCTCGCAAATGGGGCTGAAAATCTCGGCTGCTTGGGTATGTAGTAGGTCGTGAACAATGATGCCACGTGGCCAGACAACTCCAGCCGACCATTAAGATACACTGCCACATATTTATTGGTTCCAACACTGGAGACAGGTTCATTCCTGTTCAATATATTCGCTGTACACGAATCCCAATTTTTCATTATTGTTGTTTTTTATCTATATTTCAATCATCTCCACGACATTAGGATATCAGTGATTGATTTTTCCTGTTTCTATAGAGTCTTTGCCTAGTGTTCATTTATGACGAGTTGAACTCAGTGATTTAATTGTTTATTTTCTCATAATTCTGAAAAATTGAAATTTTAGCCCTGCTGTACGCGACAATTTTTGGACACATGACAACGATCATTCAACAGATGACACTTGCGACGCAGAGGTACCGCGAAATGATCAGCAGTGTGCGAGAATTCATGAAATTGCACGAAGTGCCTAAGCCTTTAGCCGAGAGGATTTTGGACTATGTGGTGTCAACATGGGCTGTAAATAAAGGAATCGACAGCGCCAGGGTAAACCGTGGCATATGTTTAGTTTTAACAAAAACAAATGGCTACCCGTAATCATGAAGCAACATAATAATGAAAGATAAGCATAATTGCAAAACATTTCTTCATGTTTGTAAGTTCATAAACGTATTTTCGATTGTAAGCACTTGCTTTGCAAAAGAACTCTTCATTTAACAGAAGGAAAAAGGCAAGGAATGCCAAAGGGCTGGATGGAAAAAGAAACCGATGCACATGGGAAGTCCTTAGTCTTACTTCCACTACCTCAACATGGTAAGAGGATGATAAAGAGTTCTCAAGACGACGTACAATTGAGCCTCTAGACTCTGGTAGGTTCAAGCATGCTTGGAAGCTTGAGAAATACAAATTTTATACGGGGTAAATAAATTTGACGGTATCATGTCTCCTTGATGAAATGCATTAGAATACTTGTTTTTAACTGGATCTTGAATCAGCTAGATATTCGTGCTGTAGCCTGTGCATTCGTCTTGTATAATTCAGATGGAATCTGTTGTTCCTCGTTTCACTCACACCTGTGAAAGTACATTTTTGTAGTTTATGAATATCATATGTAAATCATCTGAACTCATCACATCTTTGAAGCACTTGGTTCGTTAAGTGTAGGTGGTCCAGTGTCGAAAAGTTTCGGCTAAAAATCCAGTTTGGTCGATCCGCTGTTGCTGGTCCAATTTCTTGCTTAAACGGTATAAAAAAACTTTCATGAACAGCTTATGCGTATGATTAAACAATCATAAGGGTCTATGATTTATTAAGTCTTCTCGATTGTCTTTTATTTCAACAGCAGCATTGTTTGTGAGGATTTCCAGTTTCTAGACGTTTCTCCTTTTCATAAACAGTTTTGCCATGAAACCGTAAAACTTGTGCCCGCTTTGTTTGAGAATGTCGGTCGAAATATAACCTGGGTTCATAAGTGTGCGACGATGCCACACGAATTTCACACGGTAAAATTTCAGGCAATGATAGGTCAGTTTCTATGTATGCTCAGCGATGGTGTCAACGCTTGAACCGCAAAGATTTTCATAGAAACGCCTGCAAACATCTTCCATCGCCTTGTGGTCTGTTTTGTACTCCCATCTTCAACTCTTCAACCATTTGCTGCAGTCGTTCGCCTTTGTAGCATTCGAAATCTTCCACTTTCTCTTAAATCGAGCGTTTTGCATATGAGGATGTACTCATGCGGATTCGCTACGGTACTCCTCTTTTTCAAATCGCTCTTCTTGTATCCATCACTTGTGCTTATTGTCACCCATTTGACGATGTTGTCACATTCGAAAGTCACGTCACTTTTTGAAAGTTCCTGAGAAGTTGCTTCCGGCACAATTCGCCATTTTCTTTGACTTATACTGCTCAGTGCTAAAACCTTGTTTTCGATTTTTCGATCTATGACAACCACTCTAATCATGCGGCGGTTGCTGCCGATGTTAAAATGATTCACGATGCCAAAGTTTTTGATAATGGGCTGTTGTCCAATTTCAATACAATTCGTTTGCTTCAAATTTCTTTTATCCTTATGACCATTGAATCTAAAGACCTATTCGGTCTGGAATCTGATTTATATTCTACTGAATATAAGTAAAATCACAGTGAACATCAATGCTGTCGTGGATTGTCATCTTTGGTTGGGAATATGTTTGCTTTTCAGGTTCTCAGCTACTGTCCAAGGGATATGAAGGCGGATATCTGTGTTCACTTGAACCGGAAGGTCTTCAGCGAGCATTCGTGTTTCAGACTGGCCTCTGATGGTTGCCTACGATCACTAGCGATCCATTTCATCACCAACCATTCAGCGCCGGGCGATTTTTTGTATCACACTGGTGAATCTGTGGATGCGCTTTGGTTTGTCGTGCACGGGTCGCTGGAGGTGGTTCAGGACGATGAAGTGGTAGCTATCTTAGGTAAAAACGACAATTTACATGCAGCAGTACTTTACTAACATTAACGGATATGGGGTGAATCTGGGCTCCCGGCTTCCATCATACGATAGTGTAAGAGGTCGTTCATTTTAGGGAACGGTGACGTTTTCGGTGATGACTTTTGGAAAAACGACTCAGTCGGTCAATCGGTGGCAAACGTTAGAGCATTGACATATGCTGATCTGCATACAATAAAACGTGATCCGTTGCTTGACGTGTTAAACTTCTATCCGAGCTTCGCAAAGTCGTTCGCAAGAAGCCTCACTCTTACTTACAACCTGAAGTACAGGGTAACGTGACCTTGGAACTGCATCTTTGCCTGGTAGATGAATATCGCTGAGTACATTTACAGATGAAGTTCCGCAAGATCATCGACGTAGAACGAGAAAAGGAATGGGTGATGCTGAAGAAGGAAGAGTTGACAAAAATTCCCAGCGATCATCCGGTTCGCAAACTCGTTCAGCAGATATGCCAGAAATACAAATACCTCCTCTCGGTAAGGTTTTTCACTTGAACAATATGCAGAATTGCATACTCATTCCTTAAATATAAATATCGTCTTTCCAAAAATGAATTTTCATTCATTATGTCTTTCTCGTAAACGTGATTGCCTTAAAGAAATTCAAATGTATCTTCGATTCCTAAAGTCTCGTTAGCCAACGCTTCCGAATTTTGGACCTGCCCTCATGGCCACAAAGAAGGCACCAGTGTTTAGAACTGTTGTCGTTGAAACGGTTTCTACTCAGTAACGAATCTATGCAGCAAACTAGTATAAATACTTTGATACGCATTTTGGTAGATTTTGTCCCAAAGATACCATAAATGTCGTCGTCATTTTAAAATTTGCAATGCCAATTGTAAGCGTCTGACTGATCCAACCAGTAAGGCAAATCTTTACATACGGTATGAAAGATGAACTCCTGGAGGCTACCTGATTCAAGTGATTCCATATTAATTTCGGCTTAATGCAACAACGAACAAGACGAATCTTCCTCGATCCAAGGATATTTTAGACACAATGCACAAATGTCTTCTCTGTTTAATGGTTAGATTGTAACAACGACAATACATGAGTTCTTTTGTTAATGGATTGCCTACGTGTTTTAGCCGCATCTTACTTTTGATCAAAATGGAAAATATCAGGATTTCTTCACTCTGTTTTCCTTCCTCCAGGCCGTGACTTGTCATCCCTTGGTAAGTAGCTAGATGGTGTAATAAGAAGAAAATAAGAAAACGAAAATTTATTGACATAAGTAGATTCAAGTACCAGCACAGACTCTCACGTGTGCATATATCGACCACCAAGATTACATGAACAAAACAACAAAATTCTTCTTTTAATTTGGCACCAAAATCACCAGGGATGCGTCACAAATAGTACTGTTTAAATACCACTGGCGCATATTGAAAATGACGTTCCAAAGATCGAAATTTAAACAGCTTATCAGCAAAGTAGCGATGCGCATTAGTTCCCAACAACTGAACATCAAATGGAGCAGGATAGCGATTATTGGAGTAAACATGCATGACTGACCCGTGCCTTCTTTATGTTTCCTTTGTTCCCAGTGTTGTGCCGCCTCGGTTAATCGCTGCCGTTTGTTATATATGATGACAGTAACCTTTTGCTCTAATCAATCTTTGCTGAATAGTCGTAAATCGATCCGCCATGTTATGGTAACCATTTATTAGGGTATGAGAATCAACAGCTGAATGATCATATTTGAACCTGCTATTTTGGACGGTAAATAAAAAATTTGTTGTCCAAACTGTTCGTTCGGGTTCATTCGAAGTACGTTTATCTTCCACTGCACAAGCCCACTCTCAGAGTTTACATTAGGTCCGGAACAAAATGTATTATCATAAACCGCCAATACCTGTAATTGAGCTATAAACGGTCGACTAGTAAATTATGGAGATGAGGTGAGGAACAAACATCTTTACGCCTTAAAACAAAATCTGTCTCAAAATTCTGAATAGGAGAATTATTGCGGGGACGGGATACCATTCGCCCGAGTTAGAAAAAAGGAAGTATGGATGATCCAGAATCGCTAACAAGGAAACGGGCGATTAACATGTGGCGACCTCATTAAGGTCACATGACTGGCCAAGAATGAGACAATACGAAGAATGTCAAGAACCTTATCATAGCTTATACATCATTCCCCCTAAACAGTGGGAATTAGTTTCGTCGTAGGCTTGAGAAGACCCGCCAATGATTAGCTAACAGTGCTTCATTT